GTCGCCCAACCCAATTCAAAACCATGTATCCCTTATTCCCATGTGGTCTATGAGTTGTCCAAAGAATAACAGCTTAGGAGAGTGCATTCAAAAGAAAAAATAATTTATCCATGATTTCTAGAAGAACCGATCTTCTCTTATTTTCACGCCTTCACCAAAAAAAACTAAAAAAAAATATTTCTCTCCATCTGATCAAAGCAAAGAACCCTAATAAATACTCTAACCTCGGGCCTTTGAGATTCATTTACTAATTTCATCAAATCTTAATACACATAATCTTTTGCCATCTACATGTGAGCTAATGACAATTTTAATTTTACCTATGTAACTTTTTGAAACTATGTTTTGAGAGGCTAAAAAATCTTACCTATGTAACTTTTTGAAGCTATGTTTTGAGAGGCTGAAAAAAGAATTAATATTATCTTTCGCTACTTAAGTTTTTCTCCGGTACTAATATGTTATACTACATATATTTGTATATCTCAAAATCTCCATTAGTGAAAAAATCTATAATATTTATAGTCACTTTTTCTTAAAGCTTTAATGATTTTTGGGATATATAGATGAAAACACGAGTCAACTCCAATAAATTAAGTTTTAGTATATTTTTTTTTTTGCACGTGTCAAATCAAACTTTGATGAATTAAGATCCATATCAACTTCTTCTGATAGTTATTATAATTAACTAATTTAATAAAAGCAACTTTTTTCTTTTGGTAAATTAAATGGCATCTACCATAGTTGCATGTCATTTGTGAAACATTAATACACCATTTTACAGTGAACTATAACATATTATTTTAGAAGTGGTATATGCACCGACACACAGCGAATTCAATTTTTTTTCATGGATTATACAGTTATGAGCATTTTTTAGCGAGTTAAAATTAATTTTATAAATAAAAGAAAAAGAAAAGTGTCAAATATATAAACAGTCTGTCTTCCCTATCATGTTGCTGTTTTGCTCCAACTTTCACAGCATTAGAGTAGTCTGTGTTTAAACTACTATTTTCTTTAGTAGTGTTTCTCCAAGAATTTAATAAAAATAGTTCTACTAGTAGGATAATAAATGACACAAAGAATAGTTCCACTTGTAACAGAAAAATATACAAGTGGAACGAGAATTATTATGGACAATAATCATCCTTTTTGGACTTATGTGACGTTGGTACAAAGTAGAAATGAGCAGAAAATAGAGTTGTAATTTTTACCATGAAGAATATAATAGTTCTTATTTTAATCTCATTTGTTGAGAAAGAAGAATATAAAGGAATAGTTATTTGGTTGAGAGGCAAGAAAAGCTCAAAAAACACGACTCATACAAGTTCCTTTGCCAACTGAAACCACAAATATCCTCAGCCAAGATATTTATAACGAGGATGAGACCATTTATGTTCTGAAATAACTAGAATGTTTTATTTTGCTGATTTATCATTCAATTTATCATTCAATGTTGCTAAAAATCCTTACTTTATCGGTGCATGCCAGAAGTGGCATGATAAGCTTGTAATAACAAATGATGCAAAGTTGGAGAATCATCCGACGGAAGATCCGGTGGAACAGGTTCGGCAACAACAGGGGAGGAAACATCGCCATCCGGTTCATCCACCTGCAGAATCATGTATTGGCTCGGACATTTGTGCTTCCACGAGAATTTATCGTTGCAAGTAAAGCACAACCCCTTTTCCCGTTGCAGTTGCATTTTTGCTGCCGACAATTTCTTCACTGGTGGCAGAGGCTTAGTTGGAGGAGACGGAAGGAGAGGCAGCAATGCAGATTTAGTTGACGTAAGTGAAGGAGAAGATTAATTGGACAGAGAGGTCCGCATCGATGAGGAAGGCACCATTGGTTTTTCTCGTGCAACCGAACTCTGTAACAGGTAGCGCTCGTCAAATGAACGAGCCAGTGATGCAGCTCGTACCAAGGAAGTAGGAGACTGGGAGATGACATCACATCGGACCTCAGGTTTAAGCGGCAAACATTTCTATATCAAACTATACTGACATAAGAACTACCAGACATTGATTAACTTTATGACAACCTCGAGTGCAAGACATACGTTTTTTAAAGTTGTTGATGGTACAAGTGAGTACAAAGACAAACATTACATTGCTAACATAATAATGTAATGTAAAGTTGCTGATTTAATGGTTGAAAGTATAAAAATGTGCATCTAATGCAAACCTTGTTTCATTGATAGAAAGTCCCCTCAAATGCACACATTGTTTGTACATATTAAATTTCATGAAATGATTTAGAATAATTTTTTATATATAAAAAGCATCATTAACTAAACAACTTCATTACTTAGCATATTTTTTTTGAGAACAAATACCTTCGAGTAAAATCCAATGTGAGCACTACACACGTCCAAAAAAAATGAGAATACATACTTTGAACAATTAAACCAACAACCTTACATACCAGGGCATTATCGATAATAAGTTATAACATTTCGTGCTAAAACCTCATCAATTATATGCAATATTAAATTAGCAATTTAATGTTTGTCTTTACACTCACCTATACCATCAATAACTTTCAAAAACATAGATCATGCACTCGAGATTGCCATAAAGTTAATCAATAATCTTCTTTGTTCATCAGTCCAATCATCGGTAACTAAACACCGTTTTTGGCCAAGTGTTTTTATAGGTTAGAATAGTTTCAAAATGTTTGTTCTCTCTATAGGAGAGAATAGATGTAGCATGGGTTCTTATAACAATATAGCTTAAAGAAATATAACTCGATATTGAAGTGTTTGTTGCATAAACAAATGCACTGGAAAAAAAATAAAGATTTATAGCAACATTGAATGACAAATCAGCAAAATAAAACAGTCTAGCTATTTCAGAAGATAAATGATCTCTTGGCTCATTAGTAAATGTCTTTGACAAAGGTCCATAACTTCTCTCTTTTTTTTTATTCTTTTTTTTTATTCTTTTTTTTTATTCTTATCAATCCGACATATTCAAACTTGTAGTTCAAGTTGGCAAAGGAACTTGTACAAGTTATACTTCTGAGCATTTCTTTCAAGTATTTGCATCTCAACCAATAATTCATTTGTCACTTGTGAACAAATAGTTATCTCTTTATTCTTTCTCTCTCAACAAAGTCATTATATTCTCCATGGCAAAAGTTACAACGCCATTTAACTTTCCCTTTCGACTCATTCCTACTTTGTACAAACATCACATAAGCCTAAAGAAAACTATTGTTTGTGTCATTTCCTGTCCTATTAATCTCAACAATTCTTCAATTTAGATCATTATCAACATTGTGTCATCAATAATATATGCTTTCTCATGTTCCAAGACCATAAAAACGTGAAAAATACTAAAGCTACAATTTGGAGCTTCAATGTTAATAGTACCTTTGTTATTCTAATGGCAGAGCAGGGAGAGCAGCTGCCGTTAAAAATACCAGCATGACAAGTTTGCCATTACTAGTATTTTTGTTACTTTAATATGTAATAAAATAATAATTAAAATAGCAAGAAAAGAAAGTAATAGTACCTTCGCATGGCAGTGAGAGCAGCAACACAGGTAGGGAAGGCAGATAGTTTATAAAACTGATTTTTCACTTTTTCTTTTTATAAATAAAACAAATAACCTAATTTTGATCCAATAAAAAAAGCTCGAAATTGGATCATTAAAAAAATAATAAGTTGGGTAAGCGTACCATATTATGTACTAGCCCTCAAACCAATTTAAAAAAAAAATTATGAATTTGGTACGTACTTTACGCGTACTAGTACCCGATACGTACCAGGTACCAATACTTTGCCTAAAATGATGTATCAATGCTTCATAACCGGATACATATGCGTACCTATGCAATACACCATGCCATATTCGATTTGGTTCACAATTGCACAACAAAATTGACAAATGCCAAACCTAATTCACTTGATATTTTTCAACTACAGGTTGTCATTCAATATAACTTGAGTTTTGAATATGATACGCATAACAAGGTTTTGCAGGAAATTTGACACACACATTCACAAATATGGCGCACCAAACATGATAGCACCCACCCAGTGTGTAAATAGACACTAGAAAGATGGTTTAACACGGTTTTTGATACAATAACATAACAACAGGAAACTCGGCACCAGTGATAATTCAGTAACTGGTAGCAATATGGGAATAGTTTCTTATCCCATGACAGCAACCAATAAAACCAGTAATTGTTAGGACAAACAATCCAGTAAATGGAAGAAAGGTGTGACATAATGACATTTCATATTATATCATGTATGATGAGAAAGAAACAACAAAATGTGACATTTCCCGAGTTCTGATTTCAGAGGCACAATGGAGGGAAAAGAATGTCAATGTTATTGAAGATGGTTAAATCTTGTTAACCCATGGGAAGGTGTGTGTTTATTCAAACTAGAGAGGATGTGTATCTTTCTCAATGAAAGCTTTAGGAGAGGTCAATACAATTTATCTTAAAACAAAACACATGCCATACGCTACTCATAGTCATAGTTTTAAAGTGATGAACATTCGTTGAATTGCTTCAAAATGCAACCAAAAATAGCTTCTCAAACTAACAATTTTGTTAGAATTTTTACAGTTTGTTTCATAAACTATGCCCAAATGCCAGCTCGGTTGGTAGTTGTGCAGGATTTGCGAAGGAGAAAATACTGACATACCAACTAACATACTAACCACTTATAAGCAATTAAATTAACCAATTAGTGATAAAAGTAATTGTAAATCCCAAACACAACCAACATCTTGATCACTCTATTATACAATTACTCAACTCAATTTTTCCTTTTGTAGGTGATAATTGCACAATTTAACCAATCCCTATTGTTGGTGAATAAAAACGATATATGATAATTAGTTACATCAATTAACAACAAATTGATATTTCATCAACAATGGATCCAATTCTCAAATCAACTATATAGTAATACACAGGAAAAATGAAAATCGATTTTCTTGTTCAAAATAAAAACAATACCAGGGAGGATTGATGATAAATTATGAAACGAATTTAGCGTCGGTGGAAGAGGCGGCGGCGTCGGGGTCCTTGGTGGATGCGGCAGGGATGAGTGGTGCTCGAACGGCGTTGTCGTCGTCGGGATCGTAATCTGGATTGAGATTCCGATCGATGGCTTCACGGCCTTGTTCAAGGCAAGGTTTACATGCGATCTCGATGGTGATCCAACCTAGAATCACTGCAGCCACTGCTATCACTGCGCTTGTGATTGCTCCCATCGCTTCTAGTTTTTGTTTCTCTTCCGTTGAATTCTATTTTGTAATGTTCGAAATGGGCCACACAGGTGAGATGATGAAGGGTTGCCTTCGTAGCCCGCGACTAAATAAATATCTATAGATTTTTTCATCAAGACAACAACACTCTTTCACTTTTCTTTGGATTCCTAAAATATATATGTATATAGAATAAAGTGATATCAAAAGAAATATAATAAAACTTTATCTACGGTTAAATATTTAAAAATATTTGAATTTTATTCTTATTATAAGTATATAGTAACATATATAAATAAATATTATCAGCTAACAGTAAGTTTTATATATCACTTATATTACAATAATTAAACTTTTATTTGGATGAATTAAAATATGATGAAATACAATAAAAAATTGAGTGATTTATATTCCTTCCACACCATTATAAAATATTCAAATAATAGAACAAAATCTTATCTTCTAGGGGATTGGCAAATTCTACCACAGAGAAGTCCAATAATAAACAGTGAAGAAAAATGTGCACGGAATAATTAGATTTTCATCTCTATCAAAAATACATGGTTACGCCCTATATCACATTTATTGTTGTTGAATTTAACTGTATTGCAACTCATGCAAGGTGTTGAATCACATGCATATAATTATAACCATTCATACTATGTATACGGATTAAATAGTGTCATTTCATGTATTCAATTCATTTCCACTTTTAAATTATTTTTCACTCAGTCAGTGATTTGCGTATTGGAGTGTTAACCTTGCAAGTACACATCTTCTCCACAGCACTAAAAGTATGATTCATCGTACCAGAAGTCTGATCCCACGTGTTTGAGCTCTATCCCATCGTTTTATCACTTATCTCCAATTCCTTAAATGGAATAGTGACATTTTCTATTGAAGTCGACTTTTAATTCCCACCATTTCCATGAAAACCATCGTCTCTTCACTGTAACATAGATCATCGGTCTTCTTCTCATGAAATAGCACTCTCTTTCCTGAACATATTAGATATCAAACTCACAAAAGTATTTTCATTTCCACAAAAGTCACTGCCACGACACCAATGAATGCATCCACTTGAAAGATGTGATTGAAAATTGATAAAAAAATGAATGGCTCACCGGGTATACCTGAGATGTTGGTAGAAGAGATGAACGGGGTAAAAAGAAATATCAAAGTTGTCTGGATGAATCACCAAAGAAAAATTAGTCCTTTCGAATAGAGAATGTGTCCCCCACGAAAATTATTGAGGCTATTAGCGGAGCCAATGGGAAGAAATATAGTAGCATCGATGTTTACTGTTGTTTTTAGTAAATCAAATCACAAGTTTTTTGTTCACTTAAAGGATTAAACTCAAAAAAAATCCTAAGACATATTGTGCAAAAGATTCAAGAAATTATATTTGTGTCTGGGTATTGACGTTTGAATGTAAAGAATTGGGTAAAAATCTCAATAAGAACAATGCAAGATTGTTCTAAGAAGTTGAAATAAAACAAAGAAACAATAAACGTAAATTAAATAAAAATGTCATGTTTACAAAATTAGAAAAAGGGATGCAGATTCATGCATTTTTTCTCACAAACTATTTTCTCTCTTTGACTTGGATACTCGAGTTATATAGGGAATACTAGTAACATTTATGAACCTTTATTACATAAATGAAATATGCTTATATACTAAACTTTCATAACCTTCGATAACAGTAAGTTCTCTATGACTCGACATGTACACAATTACATGGCCTTTTGTCCTCTGCCTTGCTTCCATGTATTTTTGGTCTTTGAACTAATTCAAAATCATTATCAATGTTGATAAATGCCTTTACAATCTCTAACTACCATTGTCGAGGAGTTTCCTCGTCGAATCTTGTAGTGTGGTGTCAAAATGTTAAACCACTGTAATCCTCTTCGAGATTCTGAATATGTTTTGAAGAGAGATTAATCTCAATATCTTGGATCTATTCCTGAGATTTCTCCATCCTAATCTTGTGGATATGTTCCTGAGATTCTTCCAAACTAGGCTGAGTGGGTCTTTAGGTCGTCTAACCCTTGGACTCAAGAATACACTAAGTCCAAAAAAAAAATTGATAGGCGAGTCGAACTCACCACCTTAGTCAAAATAATCAGTGTGTCGAAGCTATAACTTGGTCACCTTATATGATCAGTGGCTTTTATGCTTTCATTTACCGTTAATTTTAGTTAATCTTATCATGTTTTTATTTGCATTTTATTTCCGTTTACCGCATTTTATGCTTGGTTGTGTTGTTTTAATATTTTCAAGGTTAAATAAGTATTCAAGAAGGATGTCGGCAGAAAACTGGAAGAATCATGAAGAATCGGGAAGGAAAACCCAAGAAACAGTGGCCTGCTACGGCCACCCATAGTGTGTGCTACGGGTCGTAGTAGAGATGCAACAAAAACCCTAGTTTTTAGACGAAAAGCCATGGAGACAGTGGTTTGCTACAGCCACCCGTATCACATGTTATTGCCTGTAGCAGACACTACGACCACCCGTAGCACATGTTACTGGCCATAGCAGACAGGCGTGTGATTTTCAATCTTTCCTTTTTCGGCGAGATTTGGCACTAATTATTGATTTGGCTATTGTAAGATCTGATTTTATGTGAAATCAAATCTGAATCATTAGGGGAATAGAAAATAGGGGAGATCTTTTCTATTTAAGCAATTTTTGGGATCTTATTTTGGGACTTCTTCAGGGGAACGAAAAAAAAGATTGCAGAGAGAAATATTGGAGAAGCTGTAGTGCGAAGGATATTTTCATGAACGAAAGCAATTGAAAATCAAATTTCATCATAATTCTTGTAATGTTTAATCTTTATGTTTTGTTTTCTTTGAATGTTATGAGTAGCTAACCCCCCCCCCCCCAATGCTAGGGGGTGTCTCTGATTTGGTTATGTAACGATTCCGATATTAGTATTGCAATAACAAACTCTTTTTTCTGATTAATTTATTCTTTTGTTGTTCTTATGCTTTCTATGTCGGACAAACAGAGTTTGATTTACGGTTAACGATTAGGGTGGACCGTCGTTGTTAATGTTTTGCTTAAGAATATATTATAGTAGATATCATCTAGGACTAGGGATATCCTCTAATAACCGGATTATTCTTGATATAGTGAATGCTTAATTTCAACTGTAATTCTATATGGACATAGGAATTAGGTTGGATGATTAAAGGGTTTCTCACTAAGGACTTAGGAGTAACCACCCTAAAGAACCGGTAATTAATAAGTTAAAATTAAGTTGTTGCAGTGGTAGTTCAGAGTTGTTGATGAATCCAATCACACACCTTTTCTAGCATGTTCAATAATAATCACTTTTAACTGTTCACTTGCTTTATTTACTTTTTATTGTATTTTAATTTCCACTTTACAAAACCCAATCCAAAACCCCAAAGCTTTTGTTTAACTAAAGTAAAACCCAAACTCTATATCGCCAAACAGTCCTTGAGATCGGCACTGGGGATTCCCATTTTATTACTACATTGACAGATTAGTACACTTGTTAATTTACCAATCAATTTTTTGGCGCCGTTGTCGGGGACTGCCAAATATCATAGAGTTCTAAGTTTTATTTTTAGTTAAAATTTTATTGCACTGCAATAAAATTTTAGTTTTAATTTTATTTTAATTTTATTATAATTATAAAAAAAAAGTTAGATTATTGTTGCTTCATGAATTCTTCTATATTTTGCTACTAATACAGTGTCTGAGTTTTGTAGTCATGAATTATTTGTATACATTGCCACATGTATCTCCTGCATGTTGGTCGTCTGATTCGGAATCACTTTGGAAGAGGCGACTAAAAATTTTAAAGCATATAAGAGGGAGGTAATAATTCTCATGAATGAATGTGAGAAAGCTAACTTTTATCCAGATAGATCTATTTGACCAAAGTTCAGATTGGAAGAAGAATGTGTGAAAGAAGAAGAAAAAAGCATGATGTCAGATGAAGGAGATGCATTATGTCATACCCCAAATTTTACCCTCTTTTTTTTGCATTGTCTGTGTAGCATATCATGTCTGTGATTTTTTATAATACCCAATTTATCAGCTAAAATAAACTTGTCAGATTTATAGCTGAATCGGTCAAATAAAAAGTTAACTGCGCGTAAAATCAATTGACGAAAAATTTTAAAATCGAGTCTGCAAACGTTAGTAATATTAATCTACGTTTCGCGTAGTTTAACCTGGCGTGCTCATTTAAATTTTTTGACCACTTTTCGGTCATTTTTTTAGACAGTTTAAGTCATTTTAGTGGGTAAATTTATTTCAAAATTTGACCAAACGCTGTATTATTTTGAATTGTATATTTTTTGCTGATCATTTTGGTGTATTTATTTTATTTTATTTTATTTTTAATACTTCGATATCGGTCCAATTATTTACTTTTTTTTTTTTATCGATTTTATTTCTCTTTTTTTATTAATAATATTTTTTTATTTACTCTTAATATATTCATCTTTTTATTTTACTTTATTTTATTATAGTAAAATTTACAAGCTAAGTTTTCAAATATGACTTTGTTTTTTAGCTCCATTTGTGAAAGACTCACTTACAGCACGGTACATATAATACGTACAAAAGACTTTTTTTCAAGACCACTTTTTTAAAAAAAAAAAAAAAAACAAATAGAAGTGATAGGTCATTTTCCTAAGACTCATAAACACATGTTGCGCATGGGATGAAGAGATAATATCTCAGGCAAATCCTCTTTTCATATTTTATTTTCACACAAAAGTTAGTTTATATATATACATATTAAATAATACACATAAACAATTTTTTTCATTTTATACTCTCAGCTCACATCGCTCATTCTTCCACAAGGCCTTGTATTTATTTTCCACTTTCCTTCTACACATATTATCACTATCACCATTTATCTCTTCTCCAATAATAACCTGCATATGAAAAATAACAAAAAGATACACTCTTCATATTTTCCAATATACTAACACGACAACCCCTCACTCCGTTTCCAT